GGAACCAACTTTGTGCTCTATTCTATTTCGTTACGTTGTTGTACATGTAAAAAATGGAGTTCTCATTTTAAGAGTCTTGTGTCCCACATGTGCCTCTTGGGGTAGAGGGAACGAAATTACGATAGACACGTAGCTAGGTATATGATGTACTATACTTTGTCTGGTGTTCTGTCGGGTGACCAAGGGCACTTGCTTGTGTCGAGCGTTGTCTGTTGGCGAACCATTCTTGACAAGTTACCGAACCATCGACAAGTGTTGAAACCAAAGATCGTCAGAAGAGACTTGTCGACGAGCGAAGCTGGTCGACAAGTTGTGGCGACAAGCCAGTGGAGCTGGGATCCGTCCTCAAGAATGGGATGTGTTCCCGGAACGTAGTCTGGAGCTGCATTCTCCCCATGGCCCTGGAGGCGAACGTGGAGGAACCTGGCGAACGAGCGCGCCTGACATCCGAGCCACGTGGAAGCAGCTCGTCTTTCCGGCGCATTGTGTGGTGGCGGGGATGCTGTTATGCCTGCGAGTCCACAGCGAGCGTTCATGCCTCTGCGAAAGGCAATCTGTGTCAAGGTCCGCACGTGAGCCCGCCTGACACAAACAACTCAACGGCGTCATGACGCGACGATGCCTTTCTGGCGCGCACGCACAGTGAGTCACCTCAGCCAGTGAGCCCGTCGAGGCAATCGGCGCCTTCCTGTCTGGCGAGTCTGGCGCAATGCATTGCGACGTCACTCGTCCTTGGGTGCAGCCACGTGCAGCGCAGCGGCTCCAGATTGGATGAGAATGACGCGGCCCAGCGGTGACCCCATTGGAGGATTCTGACCTCACGACCAGCGGCGCTACTGGTTGGAGATTTGGTTACTCAAAGAATCCACCCGGTGCATACAAAAAAAGCCCTGCGGCGCGTCGCGAGCAGGAGACCTATGCGTAAGAGGAGAGAGCTCGGCTGTCCGAGTCTCTAGGTCGTCGGCGCCAGTGCCGAATTTGTGACGCCTCTCTAAATATGCTGTACATAAACCTTGTTTAACTCACCGTCGTCTCGTCCACTCGTCTATCAGCTCTGGGCAGAAGCAGTCACGAGTGGTGGCAGTGGTGGGTTTTGTAACAGTGCTGGCAGCGGTGGGATTTCGTGGCGCCCTTTGTAACGTCGTCGGAGGCGTGCTTCGTAACACTCTTCTACCTCACTACGTTCGACCACCTCGATTCCTCATTGACACGAATCTGCCATTTCATGATCATGCGGATATTTCTATTGCTTAGACTTTTTCTCGTGCAGAGGAAGCACTGCGTGTAAGTCGACTTCGTACGTTGGCATACCAGGACTCCTCGAAGATCACCTACGATTCATGACTCAAAAACGTGTTTTACGACCAAGGCGGCATAGTTTGGCTTTGAACGCCATTTCGCAAGCTTAGCCTTTGTAAAAAGTTTCTGGCCTGTTACACCGGCTCCTTCATAATCGTCGATCACCTCAATCACCTCACGTACTCGATATAGCTCGTCTCCTCAATCACGGCTGCCGTTCTCGGTAGACGTAACTTATTTTCGTCGTGGGCCTAATTTGCTGTAAACCACGAGACTTCACGTTCACGCAGCCATTACTCGCCCGGTTGGCTTCGTCTATGGAGGGAGCAGTGCTACGCTAACACGACAGGGAAACGAAGAGAAGAGGGCGAAAAATAACTTTTGTCTTGTGAGTGAATCGGTGCCGGATGGAAGCCATTCAGCTCTTTTCAAACAGCCCATCTTCAAATAAACATTTTTTATTGTAACAATATTGTGACCGATCACCATGCCCTAAGCTGGCTATTTTGCTAAAAGTTCCGAATGGTCGGTTGACCTACACCAATTTCAGTCTGCAAACTTTCGACATTCGTGTTGTGTACCGGTCTGATCGCAAGCATTCTGATGCGGATGCCCTTTCCCGCTCACCTTTGCTTGCTGAGCCTATCGTTTGTCTGTTTCTGTGGGTGTTGGTTTTCTCATCAACATTTCTTAAATGTCTTTCGAGCAACGTAAAGACCTCTGCATCACTTCGCTTTTAGACTTCGTCTTGAACAAGACGCCTTTTCCTGTCTTTCGAACGCTCCGGCGCCAAGCCCAACACATCGCCGTTTGAGATAACCTGCTCTACTACCACACGTAAAACTCCATTGGCCGGAATGAGCTGCTTGTTATTTCTCGGTAACTCCGCTCCAACACCCACGCCATGGTTTACGACTATACACAATGCGGTCACGCTAGTGTCTTAAAAAAATACACACGCGGGCACCTTCGGATTACACACCTTTGAGATACACGCTCTCATTTGAGAACAAGCAAATGACGCTCTTCAGAATGTCGTCCGGAAAAGGGTATGGGGCACATAGAGCCATGTCAAAGAAATATTCCACAAGTTGCTGCAGAGTCGTGATGTGATCGGATGATTGAAACCATGTTAATTATATAAACAATGCGACGCTTGCCACGTTTAGGGTCTATTGAAATAGTTATGAAATCCCAAATTTCACATACTCAGCACAACAAGAAGCCGTCTTGAATGCTTCCTCACCAAACATTGATGTTACCTTGGCAATCACTTTGATCAGGTTACTAAAATTGAAGTATCGAAATGAACGTCTGAAGGGTGCTCGTTACAAGCTCTCGATATTTATCGCCATGCTTGCTTCATATAGCTCAAGTACCGCTCTACAGGAGGACATCTGTATGCCGCAAAGTTGCCATGTTTAATTATTTTTTCCTTGCACAGCTGGTTCAATTGGACGAGTGGGTCTAAAGGATGAAAAGCGCAAGTTGTTCCCATCTTTTTGAAGCTGGTTGGTTCTATATGCGTTTTGGCTGAATTGGTCACACGTTTCAGTGTTCGAACAGTGTAGGTCTGTAGGTAGGCTTCCCAGACTGTGCTCACGACTCCAACCAAGAAAGCGATTAGTGTTTTGGCAAGCCCGTGTTTGTACAGCGTAAACTACGGATGGACGCGAGTAAATACAGGCAGTGTTAAAGGCATTTTTGGAAACATGTATTCCCGGTGCTAAAATGAGCTTGCAGATAATCAGAGATGAAGTGCTATTTTCACTTGTCGTTGACAAATATTTCGCATCACGAGATTTATTTCTCTTGGTGAAGGTGGCCCTCCCACCAGCTTCCACATTTTTGTTGGTTCCATGGTGCCCTGACCTGACTGATATGATAAACAATTGTACTTATCTAAACAACCATGATGGTTTCTTCTATTAGAGTTTTCAGTAACACGTTACCTCATAAACTTATCTTGGTCGAAAAGATGCTAGCTGTTTGGCTCCACTTCCCTGCGAATTGCACAAACGTAATAACCAGGCCGGTCACATTGTTGATATTTATCACCTGATTGATTGATGATTGGTGATTGATTGATTTGTGGGGTTTAACATCCCAAAACCACCATATGATTATGAGAGACGCGTAGGGGAGGGCTCCAGAAATTTCGACCACCTGGGGTTCTTTCCCGTGCACCCAAATCTGAGCACACGGGCCTACAACATTTCCGCCTCCATCGGAAGTGCAGCCGCCGCAGCCGGGATTTGAACCCGCGACCTGCGGGTCAGCAGCCGAATACCTTAGCCACTAGACCACCGCGGCGGGGCATAATTATCACCTGTCTCCGTAAAACTTTCAATGCTGATGAAGTCTTGAAGTCGGCCGTATATCATCACAATGGAGTGATGTCACAGCTGCTTTCCAATTACCAACAGTCCGCCAAGGCTTTCAAGGTCTGCATGCTCGCGGTTTCTTTTTTCGGTAGTATTCTTTACCGTTGCAATAAACCGAATGTCGCCAGACATAACCTAAAAATGTTTACAAATTAGTTTCAGTAAGCTTCACTAGGAGTTTTTTTCCAAGTGTGCTGATTGAAACAGTGACTTCTTTATGTCATGCGTAAACATTTGATAATACAATTTTGAATGTAGCACATGTTGTTGGCTTGTTTAGCAGCTTGCAAACAACTGCAAACACTTCCCTGCCACTTTCGTGCCGTTACTGATGTTTTCGTCTAGTAATTCAATCGCGATATTCCAGTTCTGGGCTCTTATTTTTTCAAGATAGCCTGCAAGGTTAAAAAGCCTTGCCACATTGTGTTTGTTTTTCTGTCTCAAGGCCCGTAGTTGGGACGATGTTTGGTTACTTTGTTGGTTTCATTTTAGCTAGCCTTCCTTTTCGAGTGCTATCACGAGCACGCTCTTGTACTAAATGCATGAAGAACCCTGAATAAAGAAAGTAAAACTATATGAAGGGCATCTAGTCTCACGAACATATATGTTCAAGAGTCAACCATTCGCACAAAATCACTTTTTGTGGGTGACTTATTCTGTTGAATAATATTGCGCCCTTGTGGCCATACGAGAAACTTTCTTGCAGTCAGTGTGATGCTGAATACGCATATATAAATGTAAGCTCCATCTGAATGAACATTTGCGTAATCTCACGTTGTTGATTAAAATTGCCCGAGTGCTTGACCCGGACGACAATTATCTCAGAACGCAATGATTCCTACTGAAGTTTTGCTTTAGTATGTGTTCCATAGTTGAAGTCTCCACTTACCGGTTCCTTAATGCCCACCTATGTTTGCGGTGAAGACGGCATGTGAATCTCATTAGGCAAAAGTAAACATGCACTACTTCAAGCCGATGGACATTATCAGTGCCTGCAATTCTTTCTGCCAAATGTAGCTGTTTCTGTGCATTGACTTTGCTTATCTCTTTGAAGTTCACAAACTAACCTCATTCTCACATTTCTAATATCCACGGCTCTTTTGATAATAAACGCCACCACGCACTGTATATTCCTTTTGACAGTGCATTGAACTCTTGTTGTCTGCAGTTACTAGCCAATGTTTTCGTAAACTCTTCTCGACACGAATACAGTATTGACTACAATATTGCGTTGAGCGCTAGGTAACCGCTCGATGCGATGTACGAAATGCACTAGAAATTGAATTTGAGGTACATTACATTCAATATTGTACTTACATGTCCCCAGCAGCCTTTGTGGCCGAATAATACTTTTCCCGCTTGCACTGTTGGATTGCTCGAAGGCTGCCAATCAGAGCTGCAAAATGGACAAGTATTTGGCTCAGATCTTCCACTTTCTCTTCGACATTTATCGATGATACACAAAGGCAACAGCGTTCATTAGTTGTGCGAGATGCACTTGGATCATTAAGAAGCAAGGACGGCATTAATTTACACCTCCTAAACTTGTGGTTTGCACAGATCACTAGTGTACACATTCAAGCAATGTCAGTTCAGTCGAATCATCTGGAAGCTATTCTAGTGCTTTTATAGATTAATTGAAAAAGCATCAATATATTGCCCGATTAGGATAACACCATGAAAAACAGCTGTGTGCGATTGTGTGGTCTTTTATTTGAGAAGCATTTTTAGTGAACTCCATGCACTAACATCTATCTAGCTATCTATTTATCTATCCATCCATCTATCTATTTATCTATATATCTGTCTGTCTATCTGTCTGTCTGTATCTATATATATATATATATATATATATATGTATATATATGTATATCTTCTATTTGGATAATTCTGCGTGCTCTCGTGATCGCCTGTTTAACTTGTGATTGACTAAAATTAGTATGGGTGGGTAATAATTTTTAATGTATATCTGGCTGGTCATGACTTGAATCATGTGAAACTGCTTCGCGTACATGCCAAAGTTTTTTCTCCAAACACGTGTAGCGCGTGCCTGTGTACCGTAAGCACGGCTCACGGCTGCAACTGCAACAGACGGCAAACAAATGCCGCCCACACCGCTCACCGCTCCTGCGTGGAACTAGTTGCCTCAATCAGCCAGCGGTAACTCCCAACAGACGACACACGTAGCTGTGTTCTCTTTAATAGGAGACCCCTCTGTACATGTATTTGGGTACAAAATTGGCACATATGTCTTGCGTAATTTCGAGTTGTTTTGCTCAAGTAAAATATTAGTCCACAGTCACCTCCCCTTCACATGCTTCGCGTGACATCGCTTTGCATGGTATGAAGAATCTTCCGACATGTTTAATTATGAGAGCACGAAAAAAATTTATTTCGGTAGCGTTGACCCCACAAATGCAAAGGATAAATATTATCGTCTCAGCAGGAACGACACCAAGCATTTCGCATAGCGCTCAGGTGTTCGATCACATGCAACGCCACGCTGTGTCTCCGCGCTGTTTTAGAAGAAGGTCCTATGCAGGGGTAATATGGCTCAAACACCGAGTGTGGTAGCAGTGGTGACTAGCTCATTTTACAAGCATTACTTGTGTACCCTTGTAATGCGGGCTTCACCTAGGAATAACTTCAAATGTAGGTAAACACCATCCACAGAAGTTGGCGTACGTAGAATTCTCCAGGACAACCACGCTTTGAAACACAAGCGCTACATATGAACGCACTGCTTCTGGTGTAGGTAAAGCCTTTGTTACAGCTGGAATCGTCGCACAATGGCAAACACTGGTTATCTATGGGATATGAGCCTGTTAGCATTTGTCAGCGCCTGCGGTATTTCTACACATTTTAGAGTCATTTTGTATCGCTTCATTCAATACTAACTTAGACTATAGTCATATATATTATGAAGTCTTGGTAGTCTTGGTTGTGACAGCGTTTAATTGAGGAAAGACGTCGCAAAACGAATGGGCAGAGCCAGTACACAGACGATGACGATAATGATGACCCAGAGTGGCAGTGAGGACTAAGAGACAAGCGGATGATGGTGATTGTGATCTTGCAGGGATGAGGACGATGTAAGTAACAAATGCCCACACTTATTCCCCCCACTTGGAAGCGGACACCCTGGCCGCCGTAAGTCAAAGTGACGGGGCACGTGCGTGAAAGGTTTCATGCGAGAAACGTGAACCATCTCTGTGCTGCGGTAGCGGCGGTCTGTGGGGGCGACAAGTGGTGTCACACGATAATTAACCGGCGAAGTATGGTGTAAAACAATGTATGGCCTGATGAAGCGTGGTTGGAATTTGTCACAGAGACCAGGAGTGCGTATAGGTGTCAAAAGCAGCACATCGTCACCAGTTTGGAAAGACACAACGCGGTGGGATTCGTCATAGGTGATCTTCCGCTCGTGCTGTCTCGCTTCAGTAGTGATGCGAGCCTGATGGCGAGATTGGGCCAGGCGGGAAAAGTATTCTTCGCTAGAAGACTGACATGAATTCCCATGGCTGCTAAAGAAGGAGACGTCGATAAAGGTAGTCGCGGTGCGTCCGTACACGAGGTGAAACGGTGAGTAGCAAGTTGTTCGCTGAACGGCGGTGTTGTAGGCGAATGTCAGGAATGGTAAAAGAGTATCCCAGTTTTTGTGGTCGGGTTGAACGCAAACGGCTATCATGTCTGCAAGGGTTCGGTGAAATCTTTCTGTGAGACCATTTGTCTGAGGGTGGTAGCTTGAAGCTGTCTTGTGAGTAGTTCCAGAAGCGTGCAGTACTTCATTTACCATTTGTGACAGGAACTTTTTGCCGCGATCACTAAGCAGTACACGAGGAGCCCCATGACGCAGGATTATGGCGTGAAGAGTAAAGTCTGCAACTTCCACAGCTGAGCCTGTAATAACAGAGGAAGTCTCAGCGTAGCGTGTCAGGTGGTCCATGGCCGTCACTATCCATCGCTTGCCAGCAGATGTGACGGGGAGAGGCCCGTAAAGGTCAACACCTACTACCTCGAAAGGCATTGAAGGGCACGAAAGTAGCTGTAGAGGTCCAGCAGATGCAGACGTGGGGAGTTTACGACGCTGGCATCGGTAGCAGGAACCAACGTACCGCGCTACACTAGAAAAAAGGCCAGGCCAGTGATAACGACATCTAATGCGGTCAAGCGTTTTTTTGAAAACCAAGATGACCAGCAGTGAAGTCGTCGTGGAAGACTTTGAGCACCTGAAGCCGAAGAGAGCATCGCAGTACAAGAACCCAGCGCTGACCGTCGGGGTGGTAGACGTGGTGGTAGAGAACCCCATTGCCCAGCCTAAAGTGCAGGAGTTGACGACGGAAAAACTCCCGAAAGGTGGTCCATCATGCGTCTGTACTATGAATCGGACCGCTGGCGGGAGATAAATGTTGGCTCGTCGTCCGAAAAGGGTTGCGTTATTGATGCGAGCGTATGAACTTTGGTAGATGTGGCGGTTGAGTTCTCACCAACGCTGATATGGGTAGTTGGAAGCGGGCAACGAGATAAAGCATCGGCGTCTTGATGTTTTCTGCCTGACTTGTAAGTTATGTCAAAGTCGTACTCCTGCAAGCGTAGTATTCACGGACCCAAGCGTCCGGACAAGTTCTTCAGTGCAGAAAGCCAGCATAAGGCATGGTGGTCCGTAACGATTGTGAAGTGATGGCCGTGGAGATAGGGACGGAACTTCTGGACCGACCAAACCACAGCCAAACACTCTTGCTCAGTTATAGTGTAGTTCTTTTCAGTAGGGGTGAGTTCGCGACTGGCATATGCAACTTTCTGTAGGGAAGACTTGTCGCGTTGTAGAAGAACGGCTTTTATACCAAGGCCGCTAGCGTCGGTATGGGGGATAGTCGGTGCGGCTTCGTCAAAGTGGCAGAGCAGAGGTTCAGACGTGAGTGCCCGCTTCAACAGGTAGAATGTCGTTTGACATTCTTGAGACCACAGAAAGGGGACGTTGGAAGCAAGTAGTTGGTGTAATGTAGCAGCAGTAGAAGCGAAGTTCTGGATAAACCGGCGAAAATAGGAGGCGAGGCCAAGGAAACTGCGAAGCTTTTTTGGTTTTTCGGGGCGCGGAAAGTCAAGGACTGCAGAAATCTTGTCAGGGTCGGGTTGGATGCCATCTTTGCTAACGACGTATCCTGAGACCTTGATAGATTTGCTAGCGAAAGAGCATTTCTTAGTGTTTACTTGAAGCCCAGCGCCGGCAAGGCACGTCAAAACTTGATCCAATCGTTATAAGTGCTCAGGAAACGTTGACGAAAAGATAATAATGTCGTCCAGGTAGCAAAGGCAACTTTTCCATTTCAGGCCGCGCAGCACGGTATCTATCATGCGCTCAAAAGTCGCGGGTGCGTTGCAGAGCCCGAAAGGCATCACGTTGAATTCATATAGCCCGTCGGGGGTTGCGAATGCCGTTTTCTCCTTATCGTCTTCATGCATGGGGATCTGCCAGTACCCAGAACGCAAGTCGATGCTTGAAAAGAATTCCGCGCCTTGTAGGGAATCAAGGGCGTCGTCAATGCGTGGCATAGGGTACACGTCCTTGCGTGTGATCTCATTTAGCGCCCGGTAATCCACGTAAACCGCACAGAGCCATCCTTTTTATGGACCAAAACAATAGGAGACGACCAAGGGCTAGATGAGGGACGGATGACTTCCCGTTTAAGCATGTCCGCAACGTTTTTTTCTATAATATTTCTTTCAGTTAGAGACACGCGGTAGGTTCGGCGGTGTACAATAGATGTCCCAACAGTTTGAATTCGATGTGCTGTAGTATTAGTGTGGCCCAGCTTAGACGAGCAAATATCGAAAGAATTTGCATGTTTCTGTAACGATGCGAGCAGCTGCTGCCTCTGTGAATACGTCAATTCGCTGCTGATAGCGGTGGTAAAGGCGGAGGAAGAAACATGCTCACCGAGGCAAGGTTCTTTGGTTGGGATGGCCTGAAGTGGCGTGACGAGTACAGGCTCGAAGTCGGCAACACGGGCCACAGTAGTGCCCTGTGGCAGTAAGATCTTCTCCGGTGTAGAGTTGAGAGCGGTGACAAGTGCCGAGCCATTGCAAAAACGAACGACACCGGACGGGAGAACTATACCTTTACGAACGCAAAGTGGTGATGGTCAGACCAATACATCACCGTGATAGATGTCATTGGACGTAATGCTAACAATTTGCTCCTGTAGTGGCGGCAGTTCGGTGTCTTTCGCAGCGACCACACTAAGTGGCTTCTGATTGTCGTTGTCAAGCATGTAGTCGGTGTCAGCGAGGTGAACGACGCGTTGTCCACAACAAATCGCCGCGGAAGCAGATGATAGAAAATCCCACCCTAAAATTAGTTGGTGAGGGCAGCGGGACAGGACAGCTAACTGGACATGATGGCGGATGCCGTCGATGAAAACACGCACAGTACAAAACGCGGAAGGGCGAATGACGTTCCTCTGGGCAGCAACTAACGTGGGGCCATCGTAAGGCGTCATTACTTTCCTTAAATGTTCACACAAATCAGCACGTATCACAGACAATGTCGCACCTGTGTCCCCCAAAGCATCGACTCCCACTCCTTCCACTTCCACAGAAAGCGTGTTACACAAGCCTGATGGAGAAATTTTAGTTCTAATTCCGAATGCAGTTTTTCCTCCACAAACTGCATCACTTAGTTTCCCGAATGAATATCAGATGAGAATGAGGCGGGCCAAAGTGTAGAAGTGGAACGGCGGAAGAACGAAGGCGAGCGGCGTCTCGTGTTTCGGCTGTTCCGTGGTGAAGTCGATGCCGGAGGAGATGGAGACCGGTGCGGGGGAGACAAATAACGCCGATCTTGATAAGACGCCCCAGTGTAAGAATCTTGTTCGCGCACGTCGTTCTGACGCTCATCTCGCTGGCGCTTTCGGCAGAAACGAGATATGTGGCCGCGATAGCCACAGTAGTAGCATACAGGGCGAGATGAGCGCCACGGTGGGGAATAGACGGCATTCGGGGCCCCTGGAGATAGCGCGGTCAGGTGGGCCGAAGGGTGAGGGAGCACGGATTGGTAGTTTACCGGGGGAGGGGCAGCAACTGATGCGTAGGATGGACGCAGCAATGTCGCGTGGGCGTCGCGGGTAGGCACGGCAGCAACTTCAGGGTACGTGGGTATGGGGCGTGATGCAGGTGGCTGTACGGGTGCAAAGCCGGTCAGCGATGCATGTTCCTCCCTGACGATGTCACGCAAGGGCACTCCCGAAGACTGTGTAGGACGCGGTGTAGGAGGTGTGAAGCCCATAGACCGCAATTCTTCACGTATAATGTCCCGGATGAGGTCACGCAGGTGGCCATGAGACTTAGAGTGGTGGTCGTCAATGTCCGGTTGGAGGCGAACAGAGTGCAGCATATCACCGCGCTGGCATGTCGTCACGACATCAGCGGTGGTAGCTGGGTTTTGCACAGCAAGTGCATTAAAGGAAACAGGCCCAATGCCTTTCAATATGTCGCGCACTTTGTCTGATTCCAGCATGAATTGATTGACATGCCGGCACAGTGCGAGGACATCCTCGATGTATGAACTGTATGATTTACCGGGATGTAGTCGGCGAGTATCAATTGTCCTCTTCGCGACGGCGGATCGAATGACCGGCGTCCCAAAAACGTGTCGCAGCTGCTGCTGGAAGGTAACCCAGTCGGGTAAGTCAATGACGTGGTTAAAATACCATGTCTTTGCGACTCCGGTCAGATAAAAAGGGACGTAACGCAGTTTGGCGGCCTCGTCCCACCGATTAACGACACTTACGCGGTCGTAGTCGTCGAGGCAGTCTTTTACGTATTCTCCACGAAGACCAGCAAAGAGCGGGGGTTCCCGCTCATGTCTGTGTATGTATAGGAAGGACAGCTTGCGTCGATGCGTGGTTGATGACATCAGCGCCGGTAGGCTCGGTCTGGGACATGCTGCCTGACAGTGGGCGTGATCGGCGGCCTGAACGAAGCTCAAGCGGGTAGAGCGGGCTGCGGGAGGTAAGAGGACCGAAAATCCTCCTCCACCACGTATGAAGCTTTAATAGTCTTGGTTGCGACAGCGTTTAATTGAGGAAAGACCTCGCAAAACGAACGGACAGAGCCAGTACACAGACGATGACGATGATGATGACCCAGAGGGGCAATGAGGACAAAGAGACAAGCGGATGATGGTGATTGTGATAATGCAGGGATGAGGACGATGTAAGTAACAAATGCCCACAATGTGTATTTATTAATAAATATATGTACGTGTGTGTGTTTGTGTAAATTATATTCCACACATCTCACGTGCACAGTCAGCGGTAACCTTTTAACTGGACCGCATGACCGATTTCACAACGTCCATATAGAGATGCGCAGAGCAAAAGTAGACAAATATATGGGTAATTTCGCGTATCGTCCCAAATATTCGTGCATAGCCATGCAACACGAAAAAGCATCCGTGTAGCTTATAACTTCGAAAATGCTTGCTGCTGCAGGAACGACAGTAACGTCTGTTCCGTGGACGCCCCTGCTGGTTATCAAGAATATTTCACAATTAGCATCTACCACGACATTCCGACCTTTCAACTTCGCACGACTTCGCAGACGCCTTTTCGATGCGTTATCGACCCTGTCACATCCTGGAAATCTAGCGACACCAGTGCTAATTTCAAGGCAGTACGTTTCGTACTAACTAAACGTGCAAGTTCGTGACTGAATGCCCTGTTGACTGCTGCGACAACGTCCCTAAATTATGTGCCATCTCGTCCCCCCTGTGAAGTGCCTCTCGCCACTGGACGCGCGTTCTAACATCGTGCACTTGGATCACGGTATCGAATCTAGCCGCGGCGGACGCATTATCGATGTAGGCGAAAACGCTTGAGGCCCACGCGCATAGAATCAGGTGCGCGCTAAAACACCCCAGATGGGCGAAATTTTTGGAGCCCTCCACGACGGCGTCTGTCCTATGCATTTGGTGTTTTTAGGAGGGTAAATCCCGACAGGTAATATTAACGAATGGTGTCATAACAATGGAAATTTGTAGAAATCACTATGCCGACGTTTATGATAACTGCAGTTTCAACCGGACTGGTATCAAGAGTTCACGAAGTGTAAAGCACAAGTACCATTTAAATTAGGGTTGTGTGAGATTGTTTTGTTCTACTTCTTGCAATTTTTATCAAAGGCGCCCTACTCATTTGGTATGATATATGTATACGTAAAGCGCATTTGTAATAAATGTTATGTAAGAGAGGGAAAGAAAAGAGGCACTGCTTTAATGTATAGCACCTGCTTGCCACGCGAACGACCAGTTTAGATTGTCCATCAGACCCGGAAGTTTGTATTGTTCATTTTATTGACATTATTCTCAATTTTTTCTATCACACTTGAGATAATTTTTCGCTCACAACCAATGACATCTACGCTGACACCGACGCGGAAATTTCTGCAAAACGAGCTCTTTATCACTGTTGCGTCTATACTTCTGATCCCATCGGTCGTGTGGCTTTTTCGGTAAGGCCAAGACTGTGCCTATAAACAATGTCACACGCTCGTCAAGCTCGTCAGTTTTAGGAACAGTTTGAAGAAAGTAGATTCTCACCTCATTAGGAAAAAGGTAAGGGCTATGAAGCATACGGTGAAGTTCATTTTCAACAGCCTTTTCTTGTGAAACTCGCTCAAAGAGGAACTGATTTGGTCAACTGTGTGAAGAAGAAAGGCTTACGTTAGTTGTTTTTGGTGAATGTATTTAGGGAGGCCCCAGTACCAAACGTAGTGTGCTCATCGTGGTTGAAATACATTGATGCTGATTTGTTATCAGTAACTGAGGAAAAGAACTTTTAAGCAGTTCAACAAGGCACATAGAAAATGATATACTTTAACAAAAAGACACCAGGTCAAATATAACCTTGCAAAACATTTCACATGAATTGTGTAATTGCATTTTCTTGTGGATAAGCGAGGGTATCTACCGAGATGTGAAGTACGGCAAGATATTGTGATGATGAACATTTTGTCTCCTAAGACTAGTACAGCCAAGAAAATAATTTTTTGGGTACACTTTCAAAGAAAAACATTACAAAAAACAAGCACTTCTAGAGTTTTGAATAAACATAAGCATCAACATAAACATAAAATGGATGAATTCACTTTTGTGGAAGTTTTAAAAAGTGCCTCTTTATGCTCAAAACATGTATATCCCTCGCCAGATGATGTTTCGTCGTACCCTAGAAAACGAAATAACAACTGAGGCAGAAAAACGAATATCCCGGAAAAGAACAAAATATTTCTTGATTTTTAAAAGGAAAGTATTCGCTTTTAAAGTTCTCAACACTTATTACACTGGCTCCATCACCTTCCTTCATCGTACATAAAAACTATTGCTGGTGGGTGTGTTTGCACGCATTAGACATATATTCAGTGGCACTTATAATGAACGCTTTCATCACCATCAGGAGGAGGAGGAAGAAAATTTAAGCGGAAAGACAGGGAGGTGAGCCAGTTCTTAGACCGGCTGGCTACCCTGTGCTGGGGAAAGGGGTGAGGGGAATGATAGATGTTAAAAAGAAATGTTGCGAAGAGAGGGAGAAATTACAAAAAAAATGCGACAGAGGAAAGGCAACATAAAGAGTATAAGACACTAAAATCTGTCTCTGAGGCCAGTTGTCCGCAAAAAGCGCAGCAAAGCTTTCAAAGCCTTCTGGGTTGAGGATGGGCTTGGCCAATGACCCAGAATCCTTTGTTCCAACAAAGGCCGATTGTCTAGTCTATCCAGAGCTGCAGTGAGTTCCTGTCTTTGCACGTTGAAATAGGTGCACTCACACAGAAGGTGCGCGATGGTTCGTTCGCAACTGCAGTAAGTGCATGTAGGAGAGCTGGCCATCCCGATGAGATAAGAGTATGCGTTCGTGAAGGCCACTCCAAGCCACAGGCGGCATAGAAGAGTCTCCTCAGCTCGAGATATCCTTGGGGGAAGTCGAAGCTGCAGATCGGGATCCAAGTTATGCAGGCGCGCGTTTGTGAAGTCTGTCGAGTTCCACTGTACCAGTGTGAGGTCACGTGCAAGCGAACGAAGTCTTGTAGCTGCGTCGGTTCTTGAGAACGGGATGGCTGTGTATTGGGTACCATCGTGTGCAGATCTAGCGGCCTCATCCGCGCGGTCATTGCCATATATACCGCAATGACCTGGTATCCACTGATACACTATGCTGTGCTGTTTTTCGGTTGCTTGGTGATGAAGAAGCCTTATTTCAGCTACTAACTGTTCATTAGGTCCATGGCGAAAGGATGATATAAGACATTGAAGAGATGCCTTCGAGTCCGAGAAGATCGACCATATTCCCGAAGGTTCTTTCACTATGAACTCCAGAGCTGCACGAATGGCTGCAAGTTCTGCAGCTGTCGACGACGTCAAATGCGATGTCATGAATTTAATTGTGATGTTCCTCGCGGGAATAACCACCGCCCCTGCAGAGCTTACTGAAGACACCGAGCCATCCGTGTAAATGTGAAGGCGTCCGTTGTGCTTCTCTTGCAGGAAAAGTAATGTGGCCTGTTTCAGGGCTAGATGCGACGACTTTTTCTTATTTTGGATGCCAGGAATTGTAAGAAGGTCTTTGAGTGGGTGTAGGCACCATAATGGTATCGGCGGCTGTGCTGCATGCGTGAAGTGCAACGGAAGCACTGCGCAATGCTGAGCTACATTTGCGCTGAACGCTGAGTGGGGCCTGGAAGTTCGAAGTGAGGCTAGGTGATGAGATGGAAGCCGAGCGAAATGTCTTATGTGCATTCTCAAAGCGTCTACGCGGACGTATGCGTTGACTGGATAATTACGCGCAATGATGACTGTCGCCGCTGTAGACGCGCATCTCGGGAGACCAAGGCATATCCCCAGGGCTTGGGCTTGGATCGACTGGAGGACGCGCAAGTTTGTTCTTGGGATCCCGCAAAGCACGGGTAAGCTCTATCGCATATAACCGAGGAACAAAACAGTGTAGAGTTGGAGCATTGCTTGCACCGATGCACCCCACGTTTTTCCAGCAAGAAACCTCAGTACGTGGGTGATCATGGTGAGCTTAGTTTTCATGTGGGCGATGTGAGGGCTCCAGGAGAGGTCACGATCAACTATGACTCCGAGGAATCGGTGGGTCTTCACGTAGTTGATCGTGTGTCCGTTGATGTTAATAACATAAGGGCTCATAGCCTTATGTGTGAATGCTATAAGCGAGCATTTCTCTGATGACAGCTCTAGTCCCCGTTCTTACAGGTACTTTGTCGCTATTTTTGCCGCTCTCTGAAGCCGGGCACGCAAATGAAGGCGTGTTACGCCTGACGCCCAGATGCAGATGTCATCTGCATATATTAATAGATGGACAGATTCTGGAAGTGCATCAACCAGGCCGAGTAGCGCTAGATTGAAAAGTGTGGGGCTAAGAACGCCGCCTTGAGGCACACCTCGACGGTTGCAAGGGTGCGTTGTTGTGCCATTCTCCGTCTGTACAAAGAAAGTTCTGCCTTTCAGATAGCTGTGGATCCATTGGTAAACCCAACCCCCTAATCCAACATTTTCCATGACATCCAGAATGGCTTCATGTGATACGTTATCGTATGCACCTTTCACGTCCAAGAACAACGCCGCAGATAAACGTTTCAGTCTTTTTTGATGCTGAACAGATGAGACCAGGTCTATAACGTTATCAATTGCGGACCTCCCACGCCGAAAGCCCGTCATAGCATGAGGGTATACCTCGTGGCGCTCCAGGTACCACTCTAGACGAGTCAAAATAATCCTCTCCATCACTTTCCCGAAACAGCTGGTAAGCGCGATGGGGCGATAAGAGGTCAAGTGCAGAGGAGATTTACCTGGTTTAAGCACAGGGACGAGGCGGCTGGATTTCCATGAATGAGGGATAAATTCACTGCTCCACGAGTCGTTATACACGGATAGAAGGGCCCGTCGAGCTGCTTCTCCGAGGTTGCAAAGAGCCATGTACGTGATCCCATCCGGACCAGGCGATGAAGATCGTTTGCATGCTGTCAAGGCCGCTTGTAGTTCCTCTAGAGAGAAAAAGGTGTCCATTCTTGAATCTCTGGAAACTGGAGCGTTTTCTAGGTGGCGCGTGGTGCACGTGGATGCATGACCGGCAACTTTCATGCAGAAATCTTCTGCTACTTCAATTTCGGTGCGTCCTTGGTGGAGAGAAAGACACTTGAAGGGGCGATGTTGATGTGGCGATGTTCGTAGGCCACGGACAATCCTCCATGTCTGCGTCAAAGGCTTGTGTGGATCCAAAGATTCGCACAGACGTTTCCAGCGAAAGGATTGAAGTGAAACGATTTGCCGCTGAATTTTTTTCTGTAGGCGCCTTGCCTCCCTCAAGTCGTGAATGGACTTAGTGCGCCTATATCTTCTATATCACCATCAGTTTTACGCGTTCATTACTGGCATAATAACCTTCATAAGTACTTCTAGGGCCAATGATTTCTGACCGAATCATTTACGCACATTTATATTCATCGTTCATTATTGCCACCATCAGCCTGGTAGCGCTGATAAGAACGTTTTTATTATTGTCATGAGCGTTTCAATTTTCAAGATATATAAGCTCTACCAAAGCTCTGCATCAACACGTTGATGATCGACGTCATCATAGTCATCGTTCTTGATCTATCGAAGCCATATTTTAGGCGAGTGGCTGTTGCACTCCATGCTTTTCTGTCGCAGATCATCACCTTATGAGCGTGAAATAGTGACTAACAAGGGCTTTCATGGTGCCTGTAAGCGGCTACTTCAGATGTTTCTGACTAAACACATATAAAAGCTTACTTGTGATATCGTAGCCAATATCAGCACTATTTAGCCACTGGTTTGATTTAGAGTCACTTTCAAACTCTTTAACGTTACCAAGCAACATTAATACTCGGAACTCTGTGGGGTCAAGCTAGGCCTCTAGATCAGCCAACGTCTAACAGTTCAAACGACCGGTACCCGCCATTAAAAGCGGACGTAGCTGTCAGCATACGTCGCCACGCTGACACGGCGGAAGTCGTTGACAAATGCGAAAATTCAAGGAGCCGTCGAAGAAAGTCAAAATAGTATGGACGCGGCGTTTCTTCTGTTCATAGTTTTTCCTACGTGATACCACGTAGCAATTCATCATTTTGCTCCGCTAGCCACCTTCTTACCATTTCCTACTCTGACATTCACTGCATAGTCTAAAACAAACACAGTGGTTTGTTAACTAGCCTCACCACAATTGTTCCAGCATGCTGCAAAATAAACAAAATTGACTGCTCTCCGCGTCACGTGTGCCGGGCAAAAAAAGTATGGTATGGCTAAGTCAAAGTATTGCAGCCTTCTTTGCCGTCGTGCAAAAAATATTATTTCTTGTTTTTTGCGTTTTAGGTGTATCTCACGAAGTAATATCTTTACGGTTGTTTGAATATCTGTAAAAATATAGGATGCGTGTTATAAATTTATCTTTTGCCTGGTAACGTCTGGCCCGTGCAATGCGCTTTTTAGAATAAATAACCTGCCTACAAGCATCTTTATTCGTAAGTTCACATTTATGTTCAAATTCTATTCTGTATTTTCCGGAGCAGGATGTCGGAAAAATTGGGGGATTTTAAGCTTCGCCTTTAAGAGTTGAAAGAGACAGCGATATCTTCTACCTAGTCCGTGCTTTAACCACCTAATGCACAATCTTTATTCTATGATGTTAATCACAAATTTCATACTGTGGATTACTACATTGTATTCAATAAACCTGAAACTGGGTAGCGTCAGTGAAGCTTTCGTATGTGGCAGCATTCTGTGTAATGGGTAGCATGCTTTGAACCATCGGTAGTTTTACGCGTGAAGTCTTTCCGAACTTAACATGCACGCACTACGTGTCCCTAATAAAACGGGCGCAGTAACGTGTGTGCTTTTGTAGCGGGTGGTCGGCTTTAACTATGAAGTCACTAAGATAATCACATGCTTTGACATCCGATGGAATTGTATGTTTGTACCACTCATTATTAGAGTGATATTAGATGTTGTATTGTGAAGCATGTACACAGGACGCATGTGTTTTGAAAACACAAATGCTACTTCAAGTGCATTTCCAAGCGGAAGAAGTTATTTTAACAATAATTTTAACTATATACGTAAATCTAATTCGTAATATATGCAAGGTAAGAGGGAAAAGGAAGCAGACGCGCTGCTCTGTGGTAGAACACCTGCTTGTCACGGAAACGACCTCAATTCAATTCTCACTCGAACACGGAATATTTTATAGTTTGTTTTATTTTCATTTAGCACTCTAGGATCATCTCACTGCGGTAAGATGCAGTCATAACTACGCCAGCTTAGAGGCCTACAGCGCTCCGGCGCTTATGATGCAGGTGCTGCGTCTCTCTAACTGCACTAATTATTTCATGAACATGCGGTCAACAATACTGATGTCACTTTGTTGCGATTTTGAACACTGGTAGACTAAGTTCATCAGCCTATTGCATGTGATTCTTTAAAACACTGACTTCCCCAAAGTCATCCTGTCAAAACTCATGAGCGTCCTTTGGGGGGCTAGAACTACTACGCACGTGCGTCGCCCCTGTATACATATTCACGAATTTTGAACTTCTTTTTCGATTCTCACTTATTGTCTATCACGTTGAAATGCTACGTAACTGATCAATGCGCTTATGTATACGTTATAATAAGACATTTGTCAAGCGCAGTTGTTTACGCTTCAAGTGACGCCTTTTTCGACCATACAGAATCGGTGAAGCCGGAAAGAGCTAAGACAAGTGGACAGCCAGGCGTCGCTATGCAACGTAACAACACGAGAGGTGACGAAGACTAAATACATATCAAACTGTACTCATAGTATATTGTATAACAATAGGGTAGAAAAACTGTGAATTTCCACGATTAAACCTCGCCTCTAGGCAAAAGAAAATAGTCCGTACATTTAATCGAAATCATTTATCATTTTCTGTAGGCATATACTTTTTTTCGAACAGCTCAGGTTTGCTATTTCTGGCAACATACCGTGTGCGGATCGTTCATTGAACATCAGGCAGATGGCAATCATAAAAAGAAGTGAACACACAAAACGCAGTTTTCAGTGCCAACTGCATACAGCGCTGTGTTCTTCCTGTTCAGTGTGACTTCTTTTTATCATCTATATTTAGCACAGTGTTTACGAGCCAACGGGTTAACCTGAAAAAATTTAACGTTTTAAATTTTGAAGCTGCCGAATAATGAAGTCATTCAGGTGAAGCAGTAAAATATTTAAACTTTCCGTAAGGAAATGCTTTCACTTGGTGATTAGTCGTATTGTGTTCATTACCCGATGCTAGTGCCGGCGTAAGTACGCTATTAAGGCAACATTGACCAAATAATTATGGTTTATAACGAACAAAGATGACGCCACCACATAGGATAGAACTTTTGCGATACTGACAATATAGCAACAGCTAGTAGCACCCCAGTAATATTAACGTATTGTCTATTAGGCTATCGCTAAAAGCTAAACAATTTAAAGCGTATGCTTTGAAGCAGTAGTCTCAAACTCACCTTAGCCTGTGTGCCAACGTCACGAAACATTGCACCTCGCAAGGACCGGGGATGTTAAGAAGATTGATGAGAAGAGGGGGAAAAGTTGAAAAAATGCCTGGCAAAGTTGCCATTAACAGAACGTTTTTGCGATATCTGCCATATAAGTCTTTTAGTAAGGCTATTTGACGTCAGCTCCAAATAAACATATCAATGCTGATCTTCAGAACGACTTGAAGCCAAATGCCGACTTAGAAACATACAATATTTCTTCCACTGTTATTCACGAAAACCTGGTTGCCGCATTGGGCACCTCAAGGCGACTTTCGTCAGACTAGTCGTTTTAGTGGGCCTTATGAACATACGTAATAACAATAAAAAAATAAGGCAGCCTCGCAATAGCCGTGCAAAGTTTGAACGACCTGCGGAGCTGGGAAACATTTCATCGCTTCTCCTTATTTTTTTATTTCTTTTAGTGTATCTTCCACATGGTTCTGTCTGATTTTTTCCTCTTGATTTTTGTATAATTTTCGCCCTGATTTTCTATCTTAGTCTAGTTTTTTCTTCATTCTTCTTTTTCTCCATTTTTACACGTGGTAATATTTACACTGCACTCCACTTGATGTCTTCATTATTACTCGGAAGAAGACGCCTCTTTGGGACAAGCGCGCGCTCAGATGGCTATGCGTTGCCTTGTTTCGCCTGCATTACGCCAAACAACGAGGACAGCAAACGACGCAGTCTGGTTCGGTAAAGTGCTTTGCACATGAAAGTAGAGGACGAACTCAGTTACTTGCCGCGGGACGCGTGTTAAACCGCGGGACGCGTGTTTAAGGCCTATGTTTTATGAAGACTATATTGCCGCATGAATTCGCGTGGTTTTCGTGTGGAAGAGGACGAAGAGGTTGGGATTGAGCCGCTTTTCAAATCTATCGATGAAAAATACTTCGCGTGTCGTAGCCTGTCGAGAGAATCATCAACCCGTGGAAGCGGGTAGACGTCTTTTTTGGTGACGCTATTGAGTTTCCTGTAGTCAACACAGAATCGCAGCGTTCCGTCTTTCTTCTTTACTAGAACGACTGGCGAGGACCACGGGCTGCTCGACGGTTGTATCACCCCGTCGTCAAGCATCTCCTTTACCTGCGTCTGTATAGTCTCGCGTTCTTTAGCCGAAACACGGTAAGGTTGCTGGCGGATTGGGCGAACATCATCGTCGGTAATAATTCGGTGCTTTATGAGGGGTGTTTGACCGACTCTAGATGAAGAGGCGAAGCAAGATTTAAATTCCTTCAGCAGGGTATGCAGTGCGGCCTTCTTCTCGTCCGAAAGCTTCGAACTGACGTCGATGTGGTCCAGAAACTTATCTCCATCAACCATTTCCTCGGATGCGAAGCACTCGGTGACATCCGCTACACGGTCTCCGAAGGCCACGGTGGTGCCGCGGAAAAGATGTCGGTGCTCGAAGTTAAAATTTGTGACGAGTATCTGCGACCGTCCGTCACGCACACGCAGAATGCTTCGCACTGCACACACACCTTGAAGCAGTAAAAGGGATACGTTGCTCTCGGCGACCACGTCACCATCTTGGAGGTCTTCACAGGTGACTTCTACGAAAGCAGTCGCTCGGGGAGGCAACGTCACGCTTTCGTCGGCAACACGCAGCGCAGGTCTACGACAGCTATCAGCGCCTCGATCGGTTGCAAGTTGCGTCGAGAAAGTCACCATTCGCTCGCGGAGATTTATGATCGCGCCATTCTCTCGAAGGAAGTCCATTCCAAGGATGAGCTGACGAGAACAGTCGCGTAGTACGAGGCAGGTTACCACAAACGTTGACTCGCGTATTTCCACTCTTGCGGTACAGCGACCCAATGGAGTAATAACGTGGCCTCCAGCAGTGCGAATACGCGTCCCATTCCAAGGTGTCATCACTTTCTTAAGACTGGTTGCCAATTTTCCGCTCATAATAGAATAATCTGCACCTGTGTCCACCAATGCGCTGACCTGAAGACCGTCTATCAGCACGGGAATGTCGAGTGAGACTCGGCCACTGGGTTCAGACGCACAATCCGGCATTTCTCTCGCACTGCACTCAGACGTCAATTCAATGTCTGCAGCGTTTTGTGGAAGCGTCGATAGGAGGTCTTCCGCACTTTTAGTCCCAGCGACCTCGCCCCCGAAGGTCGCTGCCTTCAGTTTTCCCGACGAGGGCTTGGGGAATGTCCCCGTGCCATCGTACTGAGACGTGGTCCAATAGCTGCGGGTCGTCGTGGAGATGGAGACCGCGATTGACGCCGTGGGAAAGGCAGACGTTGCTGCGCGAGGTAGTCCTCAATTTCTCTTGGCCTCTGACCAACTAGGGGACGAGGCGAATGAATAGAGAAACCGCGCAGTCCAAGTTGTCGGTATGGACATTCCCGGTAGATGTGACCGGCTTCACCGCAATGGAAGCAGAGGGGTCTTCTATCCGACGTACGCCAAATATCGGACTTCCGCGGAGGGGCACGGCGACCGTCGATGTCCAAACCAGCATGCGCAGATTGAATTGAAACTGGCGGCATCGTCTGGATTGGGACTGCAGGGCTTGAGACCGGCATGGAAGTGCGCAGAGCTTCGGCATATGTGCGGTTCCCAACATCAGTGGACGCAGGAGGTGGTTCTAGATTTGTAACCGTTGGTTGAGGGCGACGGCTGTGAAGCACCTGCTGGACCTCGTCCCGAATAATATTGGTGATGCTGCTTACCTCCGGCTGTCTCGCCCCGTGTAGTTTCGCGATTTCCTCGCGGACGACGGAGCGGACGATTTCGCGAATCCACTCAATGCTGTTGCTCCCGAAGCTGGCGGAAAATTCAGTAGGTGATGCAGAATTCACTTGCCGGTTGAGTAGGGCTGACCGCTGATGAAGTACCCTCTCCATCGTAGTGGCTTCGGTCAGGAATTCTGCTACACTCTTCGGAGGACTCCGCACTAGACCAGCAAAAAGCTGCTCCTTCACGCCTCGCATCAGATAGCGTAGCTTTTTTTCTTCTGGCATTGCCGGATCCGCTCGCCTGAAAAGCTGCGTCATGTCCTCCACGTACATGGTGACGGTCTCATTAGGCATCTGGATGCGTGAATGCAATGCACGTTCAGCACGATCGCGGCGGTCGGGGCTCCGGTAGGTCTCCAAGAGGCGATGCTGGAACTCGCGCCAGGATGTCAAGACATCACTTCTGTTCATGAACCACGTTCGGGCGCCGTCTTTCAAACACGCGTAGACGTTGCGGAGTTTGGCGGCTTCGTCCCAGTAGTTGATCGCTGCGACGTGTTCGAACTCGCTCAGCCAGTCGTCCACATCCTCAAACAGCTCTCCGTGAAAGGGACTAGGCATCAGCGGGTTCTGGACAATGCAATAAATTGGTGCCGACGACGTAGGAGTTTCCATGACGCCTTGAGGCGAAGTCATAGTCGCTCTATGGATAAGCTGTGCCGGTGTCTCTGGTGGTAGGCCTCGTTGGCGGCGGCTTGTTCTGTGAACTGGCGTGTCCACGGGCACAGGGCTTGTGTTCCGGCTCCTGGATGGGCTCTTGTGCATGGGGTGCGTCGTCAGTTGTCGTACCCAGCAGCTCCACCAATCTTGTCACCAATCTTGTCTCACTCAAGGAAACCTTCCGCAGAACTGCTCGTCAAGCTAGGACAAAAAGAAAAACTGCTCCAACCCAACCTCTTCGTCCTCTTCCACACGAAAACCACGCGAATTCATGCGGCATTAAAAAGCGGCTCAATCCCAACCTCTTCGTCCTCTTCCACACGAAAACCACGCGAATTCATGCGGCATTAACGAAGAGGTTGGGTTGGAGCAGTTTTTCTTTTTTTTTTTTTTTTTTTTTGACAAGAAAAAACACAATCTGTGTTCTCAAAGCAAAAAAAAAAAACAAGGGCAGGAGACTCAACGTCGTCTTGCCCTTTCACGGAGAGCTGTTTGAGGATGTGGACGACTGGCTGAGCGAGTTCGAACACGTCGCAGCGATCAACTACTGGGACGAAGCCGCCAAACTCCGCAACGTCTACGCGTGTTTGAAAGACGGCGCCCGAACGTGGTTCATGAACAGAAGTGATGTCTTGACATCCTGGCGCGAGTTCCAGCATCGCCTCTTGGAGACCTACCGGAGCCCCGACCGCCGCGATCGTGCTGAACGTGCATTGCATTCACGCATCCAGATGCCTAATGAGACCGTCACCATGTACGTGGAGGACATGACGCAGCTTTTCAGGCGAGCGGATCCGGCAATGCCAGAAGAAAAAAAGCTACGCTATCTGATGCGAGGCGTGAAGGAGCAGCTTTTTGCTGGTCTAGTGCGGAGTCCTCCGAAGAGTGTAGCAGAATTCCTGACCGAAGCCACTACGATGGAGAGGGTACTTCATCAGCGGTCAGCCCTACTCAACCGGCAAGTGAATTCTGCATCACCTACTGAATTTTCCGCCAGCTTCGGGAGCAACAGCATTGAGTGGATTCGCGAAATCGTCCGCTCCGTCGTCCGCGAGGAAATCGCGAAACTACACGGGGCGAGACAGCCGGAGGTAAGCAGCATCACCAATATTATTCGGGACGAGGTCCAGCAGGTGCTTCACAGCCGTCGCCCTCAACCAACGGTTACAAATCTAGAACCACCTCCTGCGTCCACTGATGTTGGGAACCGCACATATGCCGAAGCTCTGCGCACTTCCATGCCGGTCTCAAGCCCTGCAGTCCCAATCCAGACGATGCCGCCAGTTTCAATTCAATCTGCGCATGCTGGTTTGGACATCGACGGTCGCCGTGCCCCTCCGCGGAAGTCCGATATTTGGCGTACGTCGGATAGAAGACCCCTCTGCTTCCATTGCGGTGAAGCCGGTCACATCTACCGGGAATGTCCATACCGACAACTTGGACTGCGCGGTTTCTCTATTCATTCGCCTCGTCCCCTAGTTGGTCAGAGGCCAAGAGAAATTGAGGACTACCTCGCGCAGCAACGTCTGCCTTTCCCACGGCGTCAATCGCGGTCTCCATCTCCACGACGACCCG